CCTGGGAAATGTAGTCCCACCCCCGCCCACTGCACGACGGGAGTCGTAGTACGCCCACCGCTTCAGTGCGCCTGCGCGCTGCCCGATTCTGCAGTGGCCACCGGGTGATGTAGTCCCGCTGGACTTCTGGTGAAGACTAAGCTGTTATTACATGTGGAAAGGAACAATCCGAGCTGTGAATCCACTCCCGCCTGGGAAGCCCTTTTCTCAGAGACGGCGGGTGCCTAAGAGCTGTGGCAGTCTTTATCTGAGGCGCCAGGTTCTAGTCCTTCTTTCTCTTGTAATTTCTGTTGCCTCAATTTCCCCATCTGTAAAATGCGCTGCTGGGAGAGCACGCACAGAAACACTTGAAAGGCCAAAATCACTGTTGAAAACAGAGGATGGACACTGCATCCCATCAGAGCCAGTAAAAGGTCCCAATGGCCCTTCTGCCACCGTTTCCAAACATGTAGTTTCTTAATCGTATTTTTGAAAACTACTCTCTTCTCTGACCCCCTCACTAGTGATTTTAGAGGTTAGAAAACCTCTCTGATGCCTCAGGTAAAAGATTATAATTAATGAATGAATAAGTAAGTGATGCTGGGTCACAAAGTGTTTGCTTCAGATCCTGACTTTGCCACTTACATTGGCTGTGTGACTCAAGGCTTCATTTTCTTCATGTATACACTATAAAGTATTACATTTATACTAACACTGAGAGTCTGCCATGTACCACAGAGGTTTTCTAGCTTCCAAACTTCACATGTACCCTCCTCTCAAGGAACCTATGGTCACGAGGGCTTATTGTGCATATTCAATGAAATAGTTCCAGCACTTAGAGCATGACAGTCAGTAAACAGAAGCCATGAGAATCGCTTCCTCTCACCTTGTTCTCCATAGAGCAGGAACTGAAAGCAACGACTAGAGAGAGCAGGGACCACATTAAAAGACTACCAGTAGCTGCCCTCACTGCCGCTCTTTCCAAGTCCTTGATCTGACAAATCCTCAGTCTAGACCAGAGTTTCTCAATCACAGCATTATTGACATTGGGTTCAAATAATTTCTTCCTGGGTGTATGAAACTGTCTCTACTCTGCTGAACTCTAACAGCAGGCCTCTACCTTCTAGATGCCAAGAGCCCACTACCACCTCTCAGGTGTGACAACCAAAGAAGTCTCTAGATGTTGCCAACCAACCCTCACCCTCCTACCCAAGATGAGAACTACTAGTATATAAAGAGAAAGGGTAAGAGTGTCATAACCGTTGAATGTTCTAGGAACATGCTAGGAATTGTGTAACATCCATAATTTTTGGTCACCCTGATTATTTTAACCTGTACCGGACATCCAAAATCACAGGACACTCTTGGTGAGGGGAGAATTTCCATTCCCCTGTGGTCATCTTAATGGCTGCTCAGAAAATACTACCTCAGGAAGGAAATCTTACTCTCAGAAATGTCATGAGCTTCATGCTGCATTTTAATACCCTCTCCCTTGTACTTTTTTTTTTTCTCAAAGGGAACAAGTTTTCCAATGAGGTCAAAAGCTGCCAAATTCTGCCAACCTTTTAAATATTACAGTTGGCACCATATTTGAGAGCCAAATAGATGTTCCATCAAAGCAGAGAGAACCAAAATGAGAGGTATTCACAGCCACAGGAGAATTGATTGATTGATTACAAAGGCTTTGAAACAGGGAATGTGCTTTTTCAGCTTTTGGTTAGGCTGCTTCAGATCTGGGCTTTTCCATTGGGTATTGGTAACAACCATCTTCTACCTTCAACAAGGAACATGGTAAGCAGGAGTAGAATGGAAATAGTTAAAAGGAAATAGCTGCTCACTCAGAACTTCTGTTATTCAAGGATGAGAGTTTCCAGGCTGAAAGTTTGTACCACTTGCAGAGCCTCCTATAAGCTTTAGATTCCAGATCATTTCAGATCATTACCCCTGGGACTTAAAAGTGGTACCTTTATGACAGAAAAGCCCACTTTACCTAGCAGGAAGTAAACAGATCACAAGCAACAAAAATAGTGCAAACTGAAAATTTAGTAGATTCAAGGTGGTTTTAAATCCATCACAAGCCCTAGCGAGCTGTTAAGAAAAAGCTCAAGGCTTAGTGCACATGCCTGGTCTTTCACAGTTGACCGCCACATGAATTAGACCTTCCTTTAGAGCGTGGCCAAGAGGGAGATGGGGATGGAAAGGAGAACAAGCGTCACCAGAAGCAGTGGGCAGCCAGCAGTGGTAAAGGCTGGTGGATGTACAGAAATACCCAGTTCTGCTTCCTTCTTCCTGCTCTGGCTGACTCCCAGAGTTCTTTCCTGGACATTGGCCCCAAGGGCCTCTTCAGCACAAAGTCAGGGGTTCTAGCTTCATGAGAGTGACCCACAGGCTATCTCTTAGCACCAATCCCAGCCTACAGGGACACAGAAGAAGCCATGGTCTTTCCTTTGCTGAAATGAATCCAATTTGCATTACAGATGCAGATGGGGAAACTGAGGAAAAGCACAGCTTCCAAAGGCTACAGACAAAAGAATCTGCAGTCTTACCACAGTCTCTATCTTGATCCTCTCCCTAAAGTATCTCTCTCAGGGGAGTGTCATTGGAAGATGGAAAAAGTCCCCCAGAGTCTTGCAGACCTGTAACAAACAGAGCCTGAAGGGGACAGTCTGCCTTCTGGAGGAAGCCAGCAAAGAGCTAGACTTCAGCTGAGGGGAAGTCTGTCTCCTGCACCCTACACCCACCCCAGTTTACTAAGCACCCGTTTCCAAAGGCGTTATTGCAGATTCATGTTATTGGGGTGGAGGAGACTAGTCTGGGTTACACCTTTGCAGACAGCAAAGGTGGAAAGAAGCAAAGGGATCACAGGGTTAAGTTGCAAGGCAAGAGTGGCTGTCAGTGACACCTGCACTGAAGAGAACTTCCCTGTAACTGCACGGTGCTTACTGTGCAGCGTGAGGTTTTCTGCAATTTTGTTTAAAGATGGGGATTTTTCAAACCAAGGCTGGGAATAGGGGCAGATGAGTCCTGAGCTCCTAAGTGAGAATTCTAAGGGTTATCCTCTTTCCATTCCTCACTCCAAAATGACAACGGCAGTATGTCCCCACTACTCCCCTCAGGGACCACAACTGTGAAGAGCAGCAGAAAACCTTTCTCTCTGCCCAGTGAGTCAGCCTCGCTAACTTCATGCGTAAGCGCTCCTCAAGACAGCGGCGGCTCGGAGCTGCGGGTCTGCGTGCTGCTGAGATAAATTTGGGTCTAGAAGGGATGACGTAATGCTAAACCCGAGAGGTAGCTGCGCCTCCCAGGGCTCCAGTCGCCAGGGCTGCCGCTAACATCCCAACCTCACGGAAAAGCACCAAGCACCCAGGTGCCTGAAGCGGGGAGAGAGGGGACGGAAGGACAAGGGGTGGGAGGAACCGGCAGGGGGAGGCAGTGTTAATCTCAGATCGCTGAATCTGGAAGTTTGGTTTTTTTTAACTTCAGTTTTCTGGTGAGATCAGGCTACTGGCAGAGGCTCAAACAGCTGCACTTGACTTCCATACTGGCCTGTCTCTTCCCCTTTAAAAAAGGGGCTTCTTAGATTTTATTAAATGGCCCTTGATGCAGCATCCTATTTCAGTGATTATAATGGGTGTGTTAATATCTCCAAAGTCCTTTTCCTTCTTTTTTTGCACTAAGGTTTGGAGAAGAAATCTGCATTGCAGGACTCAATTAACATGCATGTCTAAAGGGCTTGCTTACTCTGTGCAGCCAACTTGGGGGGATTCTAGAGAGCATCTGGTAAGGTATTGGGGAGGGTTTTGAGAGGGCCCAGCCAAGTGAATGTTTCCCCAAATAATATTTCATATAGAAATTATATTATTAAGCTTATTCCTCATTCTGGTTTTCAGCTAGAAAACTGGGGCACAGACAAGTATGGTAACTTACCCAAGGCCACACAGCTATGCATCAAACAGGGAACAAAGGTTAGAACTCTGGTCTGCTCAAACCCATCTCCCTCCAGCTCCTTAATTCTTTTTTTGGTTGATTTGTGGTTTTAATTTAAAAAAAAAAAACAAAAAACAAAAAAAACCTGAAATGACCTTTTAAATTTGTGGCACCCCAGTCATTTAAATATCAAGTTACATCTTAAGAGCTCCAAAGACTGCTTTTGTTTTCTGTTCAAGGTTCACTTTTCCCCCAATCTTAATCTCAGAATTAACTCTGCTGCTGGTGATGACCACAGGCCTGCACCCAAACCTACCACACCACCTTAATTAAAAGATGGCCCAGGTAAATCATAGTTGTTGTGTGGAAGCAGTTTCCTTCATTAGGAATGCTCCGGAATGCTTTTTTCTAATGACATTTCATCATCTGTTGTTGCAGCCACAGATTATTATTTCATCGGTGGTTATAATCGTTTTGACCAGTGGATTGAGTGACTTTCGGCTTTCTCTGGATTAAAACTGGTCAGCCATGGTGTGTTATTCTTTCAGCAATAAAAAACATTGCTTATTCCATGAGTCCAATTTTGTTTTGAATTTTTGTATCTTTATTCAAAAAGAACACACCACATTTTTGTTGCTGTTGCATTTACCAGATTTTAGAGCTCAAACTTAGATGTAATTTGACTTTAAAACCTTAAAAAAAAGCCTATCAGAGATGATGGAAGAACTTCCCTTACTGCTAAGAGAACACCCCACATTCTTGCCACA